CTGTGAGTTACCTATTTAAACACTCTGATCATTAACCCTTCCTCCCATCCCAAACTAACGTCACCACTATGACCAACTGCTGATGCCAGCTGGTTCACCTGTGGATCCATTTCTCTGCACAGCTTAGGTCCTCTCGGGATGCGTATGCTCAACGTATTGTGAGCCACAGAGCTCCGGTTAACCTCAGAAGTAATTCCTACCAGAGTGATCATGTACTCATTTCACAGATTCACCTGGATTAGACCCTTGTCGATGTTTGTACAAACCCAGTTCCTGCCGTAGCCGTTCACCAGATATAGTCCTCCAAGTTCTAGCTGGATGTTTTACAAGGTAAATCTTCCCAATCTAGTTAGCCACTAAGCCAAGTTTGTATTGCTGCTAATGCAAGGCACCAGGCTGCGTTATACAGTGGACTTACTCGCATCTATCGATCTCACATCTTTCGTATTCAGGTTTTTCACTAGATTAGGCATTAACCAGCTTGACCGACAAAATCCGTACTACTTCACCAAACTTAAGATTTCTACTATGCAGGTCCCCTGCTCGTAGGTCCTATCAAGATTTATTTGTATAACATAACTCGAGCATTGCATCACACTTCCAATGTCTGATTGATATTGGTGCAACGTGATTTATAGGGTTGTAACCTCCAGAAATGAGCAGAGTTTACCGTAAGTTAGATAAAAAGGTCCAGGTAATTATTCAAATTCGTCGACAGTGGAATTTGAACCCCAGACCTCTTGTATGGTGGTCTAACAACCTAACCACTACACTAAGATCACCAAACCTCCAATCCACTTTCTTTTAATCTCTTGACACTTAATAATATTATTTAAAAAGTTAGTGTTTCTAATACTGAATGTGTTTTTACTTCAAATTCACTTCTCAAAAATATTAGAATTTCTCGTATCAAATCATGGCTAACAAAAATTTGATCTTCTAAAATAACAAAAAATCTATTACTTACACACTATCAGAAAACACAAAATTATACTATTATATATCATCTTTCACAATTAGTCTTTAATAACATAACACTTTCCTACTTACCTCAAATAATTAGCAGCAACACCAACTTGACTTAGTGGCTAACTAGATTAGGAAGATCTACTTTATGAAACATCTAGCTAAAACTTGAAAAACTATATCTAGTAGACGGCCACAGCAGGAACTGAGTTCATACGAATATTAACAAGAGTCTAAGCCAGATAAATCTGTGAAATAGGCATATTATTATAAGAGATAATTTATTTATCGCATATGTGATATTATCGCATTGCATGTGTGTAATATAGATCACGGGATAGCAAATATAGTAAAATAGTAAATGATAGTATATAGTTTCATAAGTTAGTAAAATTAAATGTTGTACAAATGATGTAATGATAGAATTGATATTAAATAGATGTGAATAAGAAAAAAAAACTGTCTTTTCTTTTTTAAATCGCAAAGAGTAAAGGAAATATTTACAGTGGTACACGTAAAAAAAAACCAGTATAAAATACACATTTGTACGTAATACTAAGTCGTGTAATTATTTGAATTGTGCAATGCTTTTTTAATATAGAAATACTAAAAGCCTCTGAGACTTTGTAACATGCGTCAGAAATGGAACAAGATGGTCATAGTATGTAGAAACCAAGAAAACGTATATGATCCGATTTTTCAGTTCAAGTTCACTGATCAACCGAATTAAAATTTGAACTGAAGTAACAGATTTTTTTTTTGGCGAACTAATCAGAATAACCCTCTTTTTTTTTTTTTTTTTTTTTTTTTTTTTTAAAGGAAGCATGCAAGGTGACTATTTTACTGTTATATAAATCATAGAACTTACAAACCAATGCAATAACAATTTTATGTTTTAAAGACTTAGACAATGTTCTCACTGTAGATTCGATTTTGGGCTCGGAATCAGATGATTTAAAACTCGAGCATGAGATTGGAATTAAATTATTGAAAAACCTGCTAGCTCAGAATATATTAAATTTGCCCTATTGATATTTAGGTGTTGTTTTGAGTTCAGAACATGACAACCTTGAACCTACTGAACATTTTTTATTTCAGCCAGAGGAATTTGTGAAACTAGATACTTCAGTACAAGGTAGGTTTTGTTATTAGTTACCTTTATATAGATTCTGCTTGAAGTAGAATAATATTCTTTGTAATGCATTTGTTAGGATCAGCAGAATTAGATGAGCTTGAAACATTAGAAGAAGGTAGTTTTTTATTAACATTAGAAAATTGAACTATATATATTGAATATTAAATTATGCTGTTCTTTTATAGGTCCTGTTATGAGGTCGGAATTAGTAAATATTGATCCTACCAAATTTCCTTTATTAACTCATCTAATAGAATTAGCTGTTGGATCACGTTTTCCATTCTGGTTAATTGCTGAACATTATATCAAGGAATATAGGCGACAAAAAGGATTTGCTGTTAATCGTTATCAGGTTGGTTATCACAAGGATGCTGGTTCATTTAATCAAATTGTAAAAAGACAGACATTTTCATGTGAATATGCTGGAACCTACAAGCCAAAAAAGACAAAACCATTAGACCAACAACGTAACAAAGGATCAAAAAAAACAGATTGCAAATGGCATATTAATTTGTCTAATCCTGAATACAGTAGTTTTATACATGTGAATTTTGTAGATTTAAAACATAATCACGAATTACTTGCTGATAATACAAAATTCGCTACAAAATTTAGGAAATTTGATCCTTTAGTATTAGCAGAAATTGAGCGTACAGTTATATATAGCTGATGTGATGCATATACTATTAGAAATTTATTACAACCATTATTTCCTGATCAACTTTTTCTTACTCAGAATCTTTCTAATGCTATTCAGAAAATTAAACATGAAAATCTTATTACTGGATCTGATGTATCTAACTTATTAAAATTTTTACTAAATCAACAAAAAGAAGAGCCAACAATGTTTGTACAACTATTAATTAATGTAGATAGTGATAGACTGTGCGGTGTATTTTGGATGACAGCAAACCAGATAGTATTATGATCTCGTTATTCAGATGTTGTACTTTATGATAATACTTCCCGAACGAACAAATACAATTTTCCATTATCACTGTTTGTAATTGTTGATAACGATAGAAAATCACGCTTAGGTGCTCAGGCTTTTTTAAATAATAAAACTCAGGAAAGTTATGAATGGTTGTTATAACAAACTTTAGATGCTACAGGTATTGAACCGAAAGTCATATTAACAGATATGGATGCAGCTATGGAGGTAGCATGTAAAATAGTATATAAAAATAGTTATCACATGTACTGCATTTGGCATATTTCTCAAAATTTACCTAAACAGCTTAAGGCTAAACTCGGAAAGACAGCTTTTAAGCAATTTGTTTATGACTTTTGGAAAATGCGTAATTCGTTATGTATAAATATCTTTGAACAAAGGTTTGAGACTTTGTTAGAAACTTATTCTAATATTAATGAATACTTGCAAGATTCTATTTACTTAACACGACATTCTTGGGCATATGCATTTATAAGCCGTATCTTTACAGCTGGTATGCAATCAACACAATATGTTGAATCAATTAATGCAATTATCCACAAAGCCGTTTCTTCTAGTTCAACTATGTTTGATGTGGCCAAAGCTTTAGATTCGCAAATACAAAGAGAAGCATTGAATAAAGACTTTTTATTATGGAAATATAAATCAATGACATATTATCAACCATTTGTTGTTAATAATTTTTTTAGTAACATTAATAATACTATAAAAAGATATTTTTCAACATGAATTGTTGTAGCAGTTCAGAAGCAAATGTGTGAATCTGTGCTTTATAGATATGAAAAATTATCTCTTGACGAAGCTTTTAAGTTTAATGAAGATCAATCGGTAGGCACAATTATAGTAATAAATGTAGTAGAATTCAAAAATAGAAATTTTAATAATCAAAATGATTAGTGATTATTGCTATAATTTCTATTTTTGAATTCTATTACTATATTTGAATAATATTAATATTAACATTAATATTAATTACGTAGGATCAATGGAAGATTTATGAAAACTAAGTTTTTGATAATTATAATCATAAAAATGTTGATAATATCAAAGATATTAATAATCAAGCAAGTGCTAACAATGTTAATGATAGTAATAATCAAGAAAGTGCTAACAATATCAATGATGATAATAATCAAGAAAGTGCTGATAATATCGAGGATTATTATGACTATCGACAAACATATTTAAAATCGTTATTAAATTCTGTTGTAAAAGACTCAATTAAAGAAGTATAGAAGATTATTCCTTATATAGCACCACAATCATATCAATATATCGTAATCCTTAATGATGGAACTCATTTATGCACATGTTTATTGTTGGTTTCAAATAGAATTGTTTGTCGTCACTACTTCAAATTAATAATCGAAAATCAAAATGCTTTATTTCATCTAATGTTAATACCAACAAGATGGCTTTGTGATGAAGTTTGGACTTGTGTTGATTCTATTATTAAAGAACCATTTATTAGAATATCAAAGAACTTAAACCAAGTTAATGATGTTGCTTTTCAGCAAACTGCATTTATTCCTAAACATTACAATAACATTCAGGAAGTTCAAGTACGTCAACATATACAGAAAAAAATGGAATATGGTCGACTTATGGGGCATTTTAAGAAAGCTTTGAGTTATTCACTAGAAAACAATGATCAAACCAATTTAGATAATATTATATTAACTTATATTTCTGAGAAAGAAGCTAAGAAGCAGTTTGACAGAAAGAATATTCTTAATGAAAATGTAGATTTAGATATTATGATAAAATCAACTGATAGTCATAATTATAATGTAAATGATATCAAGGATCCATTAAAACGTCAAGGCAAAGGTAGACCTGCTGGCAAACGAATTAAGGCCTATAATGAGAAAGGTCATAGCAGTAAAATTCAAAGAAGCAATGTTTATGAAGAAGGCATTGAAAATTCAGTAACAAATGATTAAAGTAATAATAATAATGGGTGTAAGTGTGGATTGTGCCATAAATCAGGTCATTATGCTCCTAAATGCTCTAGTAAAAACAGTAACTAGCATATTTAGGCCAAAATAGTTTTATATGTATAGTATTTAGGATTACTATATATACTTAGTTTAGCTCATATAGAGTTTATATAATTGCGAGATAATATGTATTACATAACTTGTTATCGATAATATTTGAATTTCTTTTTATGCTATAGCATGATTTTTTAGTAAGAATTTAATTCTGCAAATTTAAATACGTAGAATTGATTTACAAAATTTTACTCAGAGTTGCGTATTATTATTCTGTATATGTATAATAGATGGATATTATTAATATTAATTTTGTAGGTTAATATTCTAATATGAGAATACGAAAAGGATGGTTATAGCCTATTTTTTTATTGGTATAAATATTTTGTTCGCATATCTTTTACTAACAATTAGAATAAAAATAAAATTAGAGCAAGTAGACCTTGACAACGATAATCATGTATTTATAAGTCTGTAGCAAGTAAATACAATGTATATACGTATAAATATAAATAATAAATATTGCTATATTAGCAAATAAAGTTATGTTATACATATAATATTATATGGTATAAAGTCTTGATAAATAAAATATCATCACGTGATCTTGTGTGATAAATAATATTTATTGCATTATGCGATAAATAAATTTTCTCTTATTATAAAATGAGTTTTATCTATTTTATTATTATTTTATTATTTATTATTAGTATTTTATATAGTTAAATTCATAGATGTATTTTATATCGATTTCACGATAAACTAAGTGGTTAAAATTAGTTTTAAGTTAGACTATTAGATTCAGCTCGATGAGATCTTTCTAACGAGCTATAAATTATGTAAAACGAATATATGGACTTGGTGCTACAGAAAAGAGGGAAATTAACAAAAAAAAAGATCTTCAGAAAATCAATTTTTATGTTATAAATTTTATAATAAATCATAAGAAAATACAAATTTCAAAAAGCTATTGTACAAGATTTTATTAAGACAACTACTTTTATGCTTTAAGTGAAAAATAATTATGATCTTATTTTAAATTGATTTATGCAAAAAAATAAGTTTTAAAAAATTTGTTGATTTCTTTTTTTTCTATAGTACCAAGTCTATATATTAGATATAAATGAATTTGATTTTAACTAATCTTTATAAAAGAATAATACAAAAATTTAATTCTATAATGACTAATACTAAAAATTAATACAGTTTTATATATATATATATAAATAATAATAAATTATAATTTATCTAAATATATATTTATTTTGCTTTTATTAAAGTTAAAAAAATATTTGTTATAATAACAAAATACAATCTATTCAAATTTAAGAATTTTTAATTGTTTTTAACTAATTCATTTTCATTTTTTTTAGAAACTTGTTTTAGTAATTTTTGAACCAAATCAATATATGTCTCTAACTCATATATAACTATTATAATTAACTGATTAATATGTTATATCAGTAAAGAGCTATTTATAAGAACAATTCATCAGATTTAGAAAAAACTTTTGTGATAGTAGTTTTTAAATCAAATCTATCTAATTAAAAGACTTTTATTATCAGACTCAATTTACTAAAATTAAATAGAACAATAATAGTATTGAACTAAATTTATTAAAATTAAAAAAAAAGATTTTTGCTTATATTTTTGAACTAAATCTGAATATTAAAAAATGATTTTAAATTACTATCATATGTCTTTAACTTATATACAGTATAACTATTATAACCAACTAATTAATATATTATATCTGAAAAAATCATTCACAAAATATTTTGCTCTAATAACAAATACTAGCAATATATAAACTAATTCACTTAAGATTTAGAAAGAATTTTTTTACTAGTAGTTATTAAATGAAATTTATCTTGAGTATTCTGAATTTAAGACTTTCAGAATTAGAAAAGACAAATTTACTGAAATTTAAAAAAAGAGCTTTGTTAGTAGTTTTTAAACCAAATTCTTAAAAATTAAAATAAATTCAATTACTTTAACCTATTATATATCTTTAATTTATATATAACTATTATAACTAACTAATTAATATATTATATTTAAAAAAATCATTTATAAAATATTTGTTCTAATGACAAATACTAGCAGTATCTGAACTAATTTACTTGAAATTAGAAAAAACTTCTTTGCTAGTAGTTATTGAATAAAATTCACTCTAAGCACTCTGAATTTAAGACTTTCAGAATTAAAAAAAACAAATTTACTAAAATTTAAAAAAAGAGCTTTGCTAATAGTTTTTGAACTAAATTCTCAGAAATTAAAATGACTTCAATTATCTTTACTAATTTGTTATATGCTTTTAACCTATACATAACTATTATAATTAACCAATTAATATATTATATTTGAAAGTTATTCACAAAATATTTACTTAACAACAAACATTAGTAGTATCTAAATTAATTCATTTAGAATTTAGAAAAAACTTCTTTGCTAGTAGTTATTAAATTAAATCTACTCTAAATACTCTAAATTTAAGACTTTTAGAATTAGAAAAGACAAATCAACTAAAATTTAAAAAAGAGTTTTGCTATTAGTTTTTGAACTAATTCTTTAGAAATTAAAATAACTTTAATTACTTATACTAACTTGTAACTCATATATAATTGTTGTAACTAATTAATTAATATATGGGAGTGAGTCAATAGAAATCAAGCAAATTGTTTTTATTGAAATTTTTTTGATACTTTAAACAACAATAACTCAACAAAAACTTTATCAAATTTAATAAAAATTTTTTTAAATGAATTCTACAATTAGTAATATTTATTTTAAAAAATTTTTATTAATTTTGATTATGTTTTTGTTAAGTTATTGTTGGCTAAAGTTTCAAAAAAATTTACTTAGAAAAAATTTGCTTAATTTCTATTGACTCAACCCCATATTATAGTATATCTGAAAAAATTATTCACAAAATATTTGCTTTATTAACAAACACTAGTAATATTTAAACTAATTTACTTGGAATTTAAAAAAAACTTCTTTGCTAGTAATTATTAAATGAAATCTATTTTAAGTACTCTAAATTTAAAACTTTTAAAATTAGAAAGGACAAATTTACTAAAATTTAAAAAAAAAGCTTTGTTAGTAGTTTTTGAACTAAATCCTTAGAAATTAAAATAACTTTAATTACTTTTGCTAACTTGTTATATACTTCTAATCTATATATAACTATTATAAATATCTAATTAATATATTATATCTAAAAAAATTATTTACAAAATATTTGCTCTAATAACAAATACTAGTAGTATTTAAACTAATTTATTTGAGATTTAGAAGGAGCTTTTTTGCTAGTAGTTATTGAATGAGAAATCTACTCTAAGTATTTTGAATTTAAAACTTTTAGAATTAGAAAGAACAAATCTACTAAAATTTAAAAAAAGCTTTGCTAGTAGTTTTTAAACTAAATCTTTAGAAATTAAAATAACTAATTACTTTTGCCAACTTGTTATATATCTCTAACTTATGCATAATTATTATAACTAACTAATTAATATTGTTATAAGATAGATTTTTAGTTATTTTATTTTATTATATTATTATTAGTTATATTTATTTTATTTTATTTTATTTTTTATACTTAGATGATCTTGCTTATTATTTTATTAAGAAAAAATTAATTTAAGCTACAAGTAAAATGCTATGCTATTTATAGCAAACTACTTTTCTAAAACTATTCAGAACTTATTCAGTTACTTTTCAATACCTAAGTACAATCTGTTGCAGCAACTATTTCTCTTATGAGAGTTTGAATTTGTATATTCAAATTTCTAGCTTTTAGTTAATAAAAGACTGCTACTAGCCTATATTAAAATCGTCTAATTTATTTATTAGTTATATTTATTAGTATTTAGTTATTTCTTATATTATATTATTTTAATATAGATAAGTTAGAGTAAAAAAGATTATTATAAATATTCACCTCTAAGTAAAGTCCTTCAAAAAGTATTTATAGCAAAAAATACTCTTAAATAACTTTGTAGCCAAAAATATTAGCTACATAATAATATAAATTATATCTAAAGTTATTATATAATATCTAAAGAAAATATTGACTATAGTCAAAAAATACTATACCAAATTGTACTGAACTATGCTAAGCAATATGCTGAACTATGCTAAATACTTTACTAAAAATTATATCAAAACTACACCAAATACTATACTAATATTATACTAAACTATACTAAAAGACTATACTAGACTATACCAAACTATGCTAAGTATTATGCCTTTTACTATATCAAATTATTAATAGTAATACTTAACTATCATTTGCATGAATACTTAAATAATACTTACATAAAATATATATATAATGCTTTGCTGATACTTATATGATATTTGCTAAAAGTTACAAATATAAGTAGAATTCTTTCTCTTGCTTATTAGTTATTTAGATCTCAACTTCTTCTTCCTCTCTTATACTTGACTCTAAATATTTATAATTAATAAATATATTTGTTATTAAATAAATTTAAACAAACTGCCTTTTGTAAAGTAGAACTTGTCTTTATAATTAGTTAAAAAAACTTCTTTCTTAGATACTACTTCTTAAAGTAATTAAATAGCTATATTACTATTACTTATAATGTATTATTATTTTTTTTTTTTTTACAAGTGACCTCTTTGGCTGTATATTTTTTATTAAATTTATTATAATTAATTACAAGTAATGATTACAACGTATTTAACTAAATATGCAACCTTAGAACTAATTTATCTTTGAGATATATTTGACTAAGACTTTATAATCTGTATTTATACTATCCTAGGTTTTTGTTATACTACGACTTATCCGTTTAAGGTTCTTACTATATTCTTCGCATCTCCCATGCTTGCACAAAGCTATTTCCCAATAGGTGGTCATTCATTACAGATATTTCAGCATCATGATCCTCATAATCACTTCCTGATTAGATATTCTA